GCCGGTGAGCGGGACCCGGCCCCCCCAGGGGATCCGAACCCTCGGCGGGAGCGCCGCCACACTCCCAAGCGGCGCACTCTCCAGTGCGCCACCGGGCCGGCCCAGGGAGACCCTTTTTAAAGGTGGAAAGATCCACAAGGTACAGTCAGTTCCCATCATGGATCCCATGAGAAAGATTTTGTCTCCAGAAGCGTTGAGCATGTTGCCTTTTCTATTTGCAGAGTCTTGGTATATGCCCACTTGCCATTTTCTCGCCTTTTCCACATCCACCTCCCAATAGAGCCTTCCTCAGGTGAAGCTTTCCATACCCAACACAGTGGCACTGCAGTCAAATCTGCCTGGGTGGCCAGGCACATCCTGATGGATATTTCCAAATCTCGTACTTCTCAGGTCCTCAGACAAGACCAGGCAGGGATGAGCCATTTCAGGATCCAAAGTTATATTTCTTTGGAAAACTCCTAGCGTTTTGCTCATTCCTCTTATTTGGCATAAACTCAGGTCTGTGATACGAGCTGTCCTTAGACACCAAAGGAGTAGTGACTCACTCCTTTCAAAAGAATGTCTTGCATTCTGGAGCAGTGCTAAGGCACATTCCCCACACTTCTTCTCAAGCTCTGTGGTGAACCTTTGGAGGCTGCCAATCCATTCAGAAACCCTGACTTCACTCTCCTTCAGTTTCTTCATGTTCTCTCTCTCCAAATCATTCAGTCTCTGTAGCATTTCCTGGGACTTCTCCTCACTTCAGCTCTGTGGCAAACCTGTCCAGTTGATTCAGACTGGCTTCTCTCAAGTTCAAGTCAAATAGGCAACCTTCCAGTCTCTGGATGTTCAGCTCATTCTCTTCATTCACCAACCAGAATCTTATCCTATATTCAGACTCAATCAGCTCTTTAAAATTCTGCTCTTTCTCCTGGATCATCATCATTCTTTCCTGCTCATCAGCCAATATGCTTTTAGCTACTTCAAGTTTTTCCTCAATATGCTCAGTATTTTCTGGAATAACTTTCTGTAATTCTCAGTAGCCTCTTGTATCCCATACACCATGTGATGCTTGTGCTTGTGGGACTGGAAGCATTTGCTGCAAAGTGTGATCTGCTCCTCATCACAGAACAGCTGTGCTGGTTCCAAGTGTATATCACAATAGGTATCTTTGGTGATGTCGTGCTGGAACCAGGGGCTGAGTCTTTTGGACATCGTGGTTGGTGTTCCTTGTTAAAGACTGGACTGTTTGTTTCTGATGTGAAATACTTACTTGCACTCTGAATGGGAAAAGACTGGCAGGCTTCTTCCATGTTCTGGAGCAGGCACACTTGGCAACTTCAGGGTCCACAGTCAGGCATCAAATATCAAACGAAAATAGTCCATGCACACACAGCAGGTCAGCATATCCTGGACTACTCAAATCCAACAAATGTTTGGCAGCCAGCCACATGCTATACTTTCTTTGTAGTCCTGGGTATTTCCTTTAAGGAAAACAGCTGGAACAGTGGAGACTGAGGAGATTTTATCTGTTCAGTTGTTCCCTCGGCCCCTCCCATGCCAATCAGATAGGCATCTATGAAGTTTCAAATCCTACACATATAATTAATTTAGGTCAGTGGTTAACAAACTTCCCACAAAACTACTCAATCAAAATAGAAAGAAGATCCCTTAGCAAGTTCCCTACTTATAAAAACTGGGCGGGGGGGGGGGGAGAAGATGTGAGGAGGGAGGTAACCTAGTAAAAAACTCACTTGCACAAACTGTGGAAGAAGATCTGTAAGCTCATCATCACTAATGGCCTCGATCCAGGTCACAGCTAGGGATCTCACTTCCTGATCAGCAAATCTAGAAGAATCCCACAAAATCAAGATTTGACAACAATTTCTTTCTAGCAAAGCTGTATTTTCTGAAAACGCAATCTCAATCTGTTCCTGACAAAGAATACTCAAATAGCTCTTTATTCAAAAGCAATGTATTACGTCTTTTATTTAGGAAAATAATTTTACTGAGCTATACAGATTCAATTTAGGGATTATTTAGAAATCTTAAATTTATAAAAATTAATTTTGGCCCACATCATAACATATATATTATTCTAAATTTACAACGTAACCCTTTGGAGATTAGGTTTAAATGACATGAAGTGCTTTTTTGATACTCTCAATGCAAAAGATTGTTTGTATAAAAAGCATATACACGTTTATATTGTACTGAATTGCTTTCATGTTAGAAAAAGGGGGATAGCCAATTAGCTCAGTTGGTTAGAGTGTGATACTGCTGATATCAAGATCCACAGTTCAATCCCTGTCTGGCCAGCAGCAAAAAAAGGGGGGAGGTGGGCGGACTGCTCCTATGTATAGTCTTTTCAGATAGTAAAAAATGTTGTGTACAACTCCTACAACAAGATACATTGCTGGAAAAATTGACAATAATAAAATAGAGCAAGTAAATATATTTGACTTACTTTGAATCGAGAAGCTCCAATGCAGTCAGAGGGTACAGTGGAGGCCACTGGTGAAGCAATGAGTAAGTTTTAGCAAGATTAACCCATTTCCAACTTGGGACACTTGCTAGTATTTTAGGAAGACAATTTGGATGTTTCAGGCAATAATAGCGTTTATCCCACAAAAGGGCTTTATCTTCTTTAGAAAGTCTGCATATATAATAGAATTGAATTACTTCTCAGTGATACATAATGGCATAGTTATAATCTCAATGATTAAAATACAGAAAAGAAAATTCATTTGGGACAGCCGCTTCATGGTAGAATCATTAATACTAATTTAAAATAGAAAACTGTAATGTACAGCAAACCTAATTTGGGGATGGAAAGAAATCATTCTTTCTGGATTAAAGAACTTTAGTTATGAAAATAAAGGATAATTCAGTATAATAAAAATTTATTAAGCTCTAACCAGATGCCAGGCACTAGAAATCAAAGTTGAAAAAGCATTATCCTACCCTACGAGATAGCAAGGATTTCATCCATTTCATACAAGTAAAATCGAATGCCATGCGAAAAACAAACGGATCTATAAAATTTTAGAAGATGATTATACAGTTCAATTGAGGAATATTCAAAATGAAAAGGTTCTGTTCAGATGTTTAAAAGCCATCATATTTCTATTCCAAAGAATTGCCTGTTCATACTGTCTCCTCTATTACTGAGCTGGTCTTTATCTTATTCATGTGAAAAGGTTCTTTATAGATTAAGGAAACCAATCTATTAATATTTATTGTAAATATAGCTCCCAGTCTGTTGTTTGCTTTTTGCTAAAGTAAAAAGTTTGACTTGTGCAAATTTCTAAACTTTCATGCAATCATACAGTCTTTTCATATAATAAAAAAAAATGTTAAATAGAAAACTTTCTACACCAAGAGTGCTGCTAAATCATGAACTAAATCAGGGCATTTAATATAAGCCGTTAACTTGAGCTTTACATTGTAGGAAATAACCAGGCAAAACAGAATAAATGGAGCTTACCCAAGTGATGAGTCTCTGTGAAGAATATCGAGAAGTTTCCCTTTTATATCATTCTCCAGTGTTTCTAAGTTGTGTTGCTGTATAATACTTCTGTCAACTTGAGGAGTTGTATAAATAATATCAAACGTAGGAGAAGGAAAATCAACCTTAAAAATTTAACAGAAGATGATCAAATTATAGTTCACATATCTGCAACATTAACTTCTTTGTCTTTAAGAAAACTGATTTTTCTTAGCAATCAGGGTGGATTTAGATTGAATATTAAATTAGTCCTTTCGTTGAAAGTGATTACCACTGTTGGTAATTCTGAATAGCAAATATATCTGTGATATTTCCTTGGGATGGGTACAGTGCATGTTTACTATTACTTCTCACAAACAGGAAACAGCTGCCCAGAAGCAGGCAAGCAACAGATCATGCCTGAGGTACTCGGTAGAACCAACGGCAGCCCCTCCCACCCAGAAGCAGGCAGGAAGCAGAGTATACCCAGGGTCCTAGGCAGAAGCTGAGGGGAGTCCCCTCTACCCAGAAGCAGACAAGCAGCAGAGCACCAACGTGGGAGCCAAGGGCAGCCCCCTCTGCCTGGAAGCAGGCAAGCAGCACAGCATGCCTAGGGTCCTAAGCAGGAGCCAAGGGCAGCATCCCCTGCCTGGAAGCAGGCAAGGAGCACACCCAAAACATCACTGCCATGTGGGTGGCCCACCACAGGCACTGCCACAAACACGCCTGCTGCAAAAGCAGCTCAATGCCACAGCAATACCCACAGCTACTGTGCAGGAGGCCAGTTGGACACTTGACCGCACTAACACAAGGAGAGTCATCAGCAGATAATGGAAAAAGAAGAAGACGTTCTCATTCCTCAAAGCCCATTCCAGAGTAACAGAAGCAACTGCTCTACCAGATGACCAGACATCAACATAGAGATACTAGAAATACAAAAACACCAGAAAATATGACACTACCACAAGGATATAGTAATTCTCAAATACCAGACGCTACAGAGCAGGAAACCCTTGAAATGACTGAAAAGAAATTCCAAGCAACAATCTTAAAGAAACTCATTGAGATATGAGAAGACTCAGTTAGACAATATAATGAAACAAGAAAAAAAAAATCCAGGATATGAAGGAGGAAATTTACAAAGTTTAACACCTTAAAAAAGAATGTAGCAGAGCTCATAGAACTGAAAGATTCACTCAATGAAGTAAAAAACACAACCAAGAGCTTAAACAGCAGGCTAGAACAAGCAGAAGAGAGAATTTCTGATCCTGAAGACTGTCTTTTCGAAACAACCTAGCTGGACAAAAAAAAGGAAAAAAGAATTTTAAAAAATGAAGAAAATCTAAGAGAGCTGGTAGACAACCTTAAGTGCGCAAACATTCAAGTCATGGGTGTTCCAGAAGGGGAGGAGAAAGGAAAAGGCATTGAAAACCTATTCAATGAAATAATAACAGAAAACTCCCCACATTTAGGGAGAGACATGGACCTTCAGATTCAGAAGGCTCAAAGATCCCCAGACAGATTCAACCTAAAAATATCTTCTGCAAGACACATTATGGTCAAACTAGCAAAGCTCAAAGACAAAGAGAGAATCTTAAGAGCAGCAAGAGAAAAGTGTCAAATCACCTATAAGGGAGTGCCTACCATATTAACAGCAGACTTCTCAAAAGAAATTCTACAAGTCAGAAGAAAATGGGATGATATACTTAAAATACTAAAAGAAAACAACTGCCCGCCAAGAATACTATACCCAGCAGGGCTACACTTCAGAAATGAGGGAGAAATAGTGTATTTTCCAAACAGACAAAAACTGCGGGAGTTCGCCACCACATGATCAGCCCTTCGAGAATTCCTCAAGGAAGTCCTGCATCAAGAATCTGAAAAATGATAATCACTCATCTTACTAGCTATAATTCTGTTCAAACTTTGTTTTTTCATAATTCCATCTTGGTAGGTGACGTGTTTCTAGGAATTTATTCATTTCATTTATATGACCTAATTTATTGATCAAAAATTATTCATAGTATTCTCTTATAACCTTTTGATTTCTGTAAATTTGTTTGTAATGACCACTTTCATTTTTGATTTTAGCTATTTGAGTCTTCTTTTTTTTTTTCTTAGTCCATGTAGGTAAAGGTTTGTCAATTTTGTGGATCTCGTCAAAGTACCAACTTTTGGTTCCACTGATTTTCTCTATTTTTTTTCTATTTTCTGTTTCTTTTATCTGTGCTCTAATTTTATTATTTCCTTCCTTTGCTTCTTAGTCCATGTAGGTAAAGGTTTGTCAATTTTGTGGATCTCGTCAAAGTACCAACTTTTGGTTCCACTGATTTTCTCTATTTTTTTTTTCTATTTTCTGTTTCTTTTATCTGTGCTCTAATTTTATTATTTCCTTCCTTTGCTAGGTCTGAGCTTAGTTTGCTCTTCATTTTCTAGTTTCTTATGGAGCAAAAGTGATTGTTGATTTGAGATCTTTTTCATTAGTGTAAGTATCTACATTAAATAAATTTCCCTTTAAGCAAAAAAGAAAAGAAATGATTACTAAAAAGGCTTATTGACTTTTAAATTGAAGAGAGATCCTGAGAGTGAAACAAGATCAATTAGGCATCTTTAGTAACAACCCAAATCATGGTGCATACACGTATTTTTTATTAAGAAACTTAAACATCTCCATATGTCAAGAAGTATCATTACCTGTAGCACTATTCTTTCCATGACATATCCTTTTGTGGGGACTGTTCCAGGAATAGAATTTGTATGTGATGAAGTCCAAAGATAGAGAAGTTTAGTTCCACATGTTAAAAACCTTCATGAACGTAAAAAGAATACTGTAATTTTCATTTTAAAAATTAATTCAAAACTCACAATGCATGTAATGAATCTGAAATGTTAATATTTCATCCACTAAATAAAAAGAATATCATCATCTTTAAGAACGTATCAGAAGGAGTCACTCTCCATATTGTGCTGAGACTTTAGTAAATGTACTGAAGTGTGGGGTGGGATCAAAGAGAGGAAGACTGGAAGAATGTATCTTGGGAAGAATGGTGATGAGGACAGAACTCAAGAAGGATAATACTGAGAGTCACCCATCCTACAACAACTTCTATAAATAGGAAGGTGAAGGATAGTCTTTGAAGATTTTCTACAAAGGAATACATCTCAAGGTGGTGGTTTGGATTACAAAACGAATTCCTGACTTTTATCATCAGAACAAAAACATGTGGCCAAAAAAACTACTTTGCATTAAAGCACCAATCATTTGAGATGAGAAATTATATCTGTGCCCTAGACCAGGGGTCAGGAAATCTTTTCTGTAAAGGGCCAGATGGTAAATATTTTGAGCTTTGTGGGCCATACAGTCTCTGTTGCAAAGACTCAGCTCTGCTACTGTAGTGCCAAGTAGCATGAACAATACATAAATGAATGTGCATGCTATATTCTAACAAATTATATTTATAAAAACAGGCAATGGGTTCAAGTATGCTGACCCCTGCCCGAGACTACCAATTTATGGCCTACTTCAATTAAAACATTTATTCAAAGATATATCAATATCTTTACGCAGAAGAAATTTCTGAAGAATAATACAGGATATATAAAAGCAGAAAACCATAAACTTTGTCAAATCTTTCTTCATTTTATTTAAACAGCAAATACCCTTTCCAAAACTAGGCTCTAGTCTTAATAACGGCCTTTGAATCTTTGATATGTTATAATCTATCATTTCCTCCCCCCCAACTAGATTGTTTTAAGGCAAATCCCAGTCATATTTTACCTATAAATACTGTTATATATCTCTAAGCAACAAACACTTTTTCCTTTTAAAATAAGGACAGCACCATCATCCCTCCTAAAATAATTAACAATATTTAGTTAAGATTATAAAATAGGCAGTATTCAAATTTCCCTGATTGTCTAATAAATTATTTTTAATAGTTTTGTTCAAAACAGGATCCAAATAAGATCAAGCACTTGAATTTGGTTGACAGGTCTTTCCAAGCATCTTTTAATTCAGGTTCAGCAAACTCCAGCCTGCCACCTGGTTTTGTAAGTAAATTTTTATTAGACACAGCCATACTCATTCATTTACGTATTATCTATGATTGCTTTTGAATTTGCTTTATCATTTGTGACAGTCTAAATGGCCTATAAAAACCTAAACGATGGGACCTTAGTGTTACCAACTCCACACTCTAACCACCTGAGCCAACCAGCCAGCGCAAGATTCATCAGTTTATTCAGGTACTATTCAGTTTGAACTGATATAAAGTTCCAGAAAAGCTAATCACTTAAGGGTTTTAACAAGGCATGGATGATCACTGCTTAGATCCATGGTTCTCAATCAAAAGTAATTTTGCTCTCTGTAGACATTTCACAATGTATGGAGACATTTTTGGTTGTCAACTGAGGGATACTACTGGCATCTAGTGGGTAGAAGTGAGGGATGCTGCTAAACCTCCTACAATGCACAGAACAGCCTCCTGCAACAAAGAATCGCCTAGCCCCAAATGCCAATAGTATTGATGTGATGAAACCCTGTCATAAATCCATTATTTCAGTAGGGGTTGCAAAACTGTGATATTCTAATTCTATCATTCCTTCTGCATCTATTAGCTGGAATTTTTCTATAAAAAACTTTTTCACATCAATTATTTGGTAACCCTGAGATACAACTGTAAAGGAAAAGCAGGTTAAATGCTTAATTCTGTTTATGTACCAGGTTTCAGAATGAGTTAAAACTCATTTGTTACTGAGGCTGACCGAAATGCCTCTGGGTCATTTGGCTTCTATGATAGTGACTTCATCACTATATCAACTATACACAGGTTGTATGCATTGTTGAACCTTAAACAGAAATTTTTAAAAGAATTTCAAGACCAGGATTACTGATCACTATACCACAGTATGTTAAAACTGAACTAGATCATTAACACTTCGTTTTTCTACCTGTAATAATGGAAACTCATCACCCCTCCTAATTTCTCAGTATTTCTTGAATATGAAGTCCTAATATTACCTACGTCAACTGCACTACTTGGCAAAGTATCAAGCTTAATACCATCTATTCACTATTTTAACAGCAGAGGGTTGGATGCAAATTATTTAAATATCTAACAGAACCCAACTGTTCTTCACTTTATAGATTCCTGAATTATAAAACAATGTTATGTCATTCATCTAAAAAAACCATTTATTACTAGACAAGAAGAGTGACAAAAGGTGATGGTTCTCTAAGCAAAGACCCTTGGTGCTTTCAAGAGTGAGAAGGTTAGGGGCCGGCCTGTGGCTCACCTGGGAGAGTGTGGTGCTGATAACACCAAGGCCACGGGTTCAGATCCCTATATAAGGATGGCCGGTTAGCTCACCTGGGAGAGCGTGGTGCTGACAACACCAAGTCAAGGGTTAAGATCCCCTTACTGGTCATCTTTAAAAAAAAAAAAAAAAAAAAAAAAAGAGCAAGAAGGTTTTCAGAAGTGACTTATTTATAAAAAACTAATGATAATGATAAGATTAGATTTAATTTTCTCATTTCTGTCAAAGACAGTTGAGAACACACTTATTCTCTTTCATCGGGCCAATGATATCAGTATATTCTATTTTAGAGTAAGTATGGATTATATTTACCAAAAGGTTCTAAATGCACACCATTAAAAGTAATTCCTTCAACTGCTTTTCTCTAGCCCGTGATGGTTCAGAATTATGTCAGGTGACAAATAAAAGTTGAACCCACAAAAAGGCAGAGAATTAAAAAATCTTATACTACTTCCTCAAATATGGGGAAGTGATTAAAAGAAAGAAAAATATTAAAAACATATAAATAAATGCTATATTTAAGTTCATGTGAAAAGAGTATTTCAAGAACAAAATCTGTAAAGTCAATGTTTTGAACATCATATTTCAAAAAATGATTACTAAAAAATCAAATAGCTTGTATGCCATTTAGGAAGAAAAAGGAAGTAGAACTAGATTAGCACAATTTTTTAAATTCTTAATATTTAATTGTTTTATCTTAGGTTAAATAGATCTATTATTGAGTACCAAACTGTCCCAGGGAACACTTTCAAAGATATATTAGAATCTTAGAATATTTCAAAGATATATTCTAGAAAAGCAAAAAAGTGCCATGGTATCAAATAAGTTTGAAAATGTCAACACAAGATAATAATTAAGTACACTGTTTTTGAACCCAGACTGCCTGGTTTAAATCCCAATTCTATCTCTTATTAACTAAATGCCCTGGGGCACTTAGCCTCTATACTTTGATTTCTCCCTCTTTAAAAAGGGATAACAATACATATTTCACAGAGGTGTTGTGAAGAATATAAGGATATGTATACAACACTCAGACAGATACCCAACACATAGTAAGTGCTATGTTTTTGTTATTACAGTAAATGTATTGTTCTAAAGTATAGTTAAATAGGCTTCTTGATTACAGAAATTTATAGGTGCTTTAATATGCTAATGTGCATTATCAATTTCCAGAATGTTCCCATGTACTGTACGTCAGATATCCTGAACTTATTCAATTGTGTTTTTCCCCCTTAGGAAGGCCCTTGATCATCTCATAGAATAGATTATTATCTAGAACATAATTAAAATGTTCAGCTAAAAGGCTAGATGGATTACACTATCCCAATAGCTATTAATAGACACAAAGCTCAAAAGGAATTCCTTTATCCCTAAGGATAAGAGAAAGAATCCCTCAACAGGTTTTTTTGCACACATGTGGGGCCTTTGCAGATTAAACACCAGGGACCTGTAGCAGTAAGGGATAGTCAGGTAAAAAAGAATTAAGTCAGGTAAAAAGAATTAAGGAAGGAAATTATGTGCAGCTGTAGACTCTGAAACTGGAGCAGGGTAGGAAAGGAGTGAGAAGAGAAAAAATGGAGTTATTTTATTAACATCAAGGGAACTTGTAAGACCATGGTATTATGTCAGTAATAAGGTACTTTACATAAATGAGTTAAGAGTCATTGGCTGCTGCTTTTCTCCTGTAGCAATGAGTGACAAACAATCCTCTGCCTACCCACACAGATATGTTCAGACTACAGCAGAATAACTGGTTTCCTCTGATCTGTCTCTAAACCTCCTTTTATCACATTGGAAAAACTGAGGCAGCTCATGAGCTCAGGTATGTCATTGTTCTCCATCCTGTCCTCCAGCCAATTCTGATATGCAGATGTGTCCACAGTAACTCACCATCACATTCAGTAATGCTTACCGTTTAAAGTCAAAAAGAGGTAAAGAAACTTTGCCCAAAGCTTCTGGCCCCTTTCTCTGCTTATTAGAATCAGGGGAACTTCCACTGCTCTGATTTAAAATTCCAAAAAGAGTAAGATGAAGAAGTGATTCTAATGGCAGCTGTGATATCTGGATGGGAAAAATGATTCTATGGGGGGGGAAATGTGTTAATAAAAAGAACAAATTAGATTGATTGTGAAGTTTAACGCTTTAAGACAACTGACAATTTTAGGTATTTTATTTGACTTATCAAATAATCTTTAATCCTGAGTAAACTTTAGCGAAGTAGCATGTTTGACTAACTTGTACTGTTAAAAATCTTAAATAAACAAATTTCATTAATAGCATAAAATTTCAAAATAGAACATTACTTTCTTTAAAAATTTATAAGCACCTTTACCTAAGACTTGCAGTGTCAATCTCCAGGCAAAATAATAGTAGTCATTTTTACTTCCTTTAGGAAATGCTAGATGAATGTTTATGAGTATTTCTGTTTTGGGATGTAAGTATGCACATATATGCACAAATAGACATATGCTCGTATATGTTTACCAACAGTGGTCACTCTGAGATAGTAAGTTTGAAAACAGGGTGATGTTTTTTTACCCTAAATGCATTTTTGTATTATTTGACTGTTTTCACAGACACGTATTATATTTGTAACTTAAAAAATAATAAAAGAAAGGCAGAAAACTATTTAATAAATGTGGAACAAATAGTGAAAAGTTCAGCAACTGCTTACCTGCCTAAATAATGAAGTTTCCCTTATTTTAAATACAATTATTTAAAAAATATTAACAGTACAAAATATCATCTTAAAGAAGGACTTAAGATAACTTTTCTTTATCTGTTAATCAAGAGCCAGAATCCTTGTATAGTGTTACAGAATACTAAAGTAAGCAATGTTATAAAACACCATCTTTCTATAATTATATGTAAATTTGTCTTCAACTTAAACTGTAGGAAGAATTAACAGCATGTTTTTGCTTAAGGATTGTATTGTAAGCAATGTTATAAAACACCATCTTTCTAGAATTATATGTAAATTTGTCTTCAACTTAAACTGTAGGAAGAATTAACAGCATGTTTTTGCTTTTTTACTTTATATTTAATTTTTTTAATTTAATAAGATGTACAGTTAAAAGACTTCAAATTTTTTAACGAGAATTTCAGTCTGTTCTATAGAATCATATTTAGATGAGTCCTAAGATACCAGTAAGAACTTAATACATTTCAGTGGAAATGGTAATAAAAATTAAAGCTAGGATGCATACATTTAAAAAAGTAAAGAACAGGGCACACTAAAAGAATAAAAAGCCAGAAATTTCACTTACAGTTCATCCCATTTAATAAGATAGAAGAAATTCTTATAAGTGCCAACCTTCTTTGATTGAATAGGTTTAAAAAGATCCTTTCCATTGTGAGAAAGGGAACATATCAAGTAGTATTTTTCATAACTGAGAAAAGAAAGGGTTTGATTTGATTTATATGTTGATAATACAAATTAGCTAACTAATACAAATACATCAGCAATTCTTCCCACAAAGTGACTAATATCTGAAATAATTTGGTCACCATTCATTTGAATTTTTAGAAATCCATCTGAAATTTAATCACTGCAAACTATGAAAATAGAGAAGAGGTATATAGCAAAGGGTGTACAGAGGGAAACATATGTCTGGAGGTACCAGACTAAAGGGGCACCATATTAACTGTAGCTGGAACATTTATTTCAATTTTGTGCTCAGTTAGTTACTAGCTTTAGATTTTAGTTAAATGACACTGA